GGCGCCGAGCCAATGTTGTTGTTTTTTAAGTATCCGGTCATTTTAGTTTCATTTCTTTGTTAATCTCAAAATCATTCAAAATATTTTCTCATTTGTAGTAGACATTTTTTATTCAACTATTAATTATTAAATTCTAGTTCTGTTGTTAAAAATATAGCCTATGAACTTTTAAAGTTTATCAACACATTCATTGTGTCCTAAAATACTACTATTTTTGGAAATATTCTATGAACACTTGAAAAGATGGTATATATTTAATAATTAGCCCGGTAAGTTTATTTAAATTGATCTAAATTAAAATTCACTAATTTTTACTTTAATTGGGTGAATGGTATATGAATTATATTTCAATAAATGCTTTTAAAGATTGTTTTAAATTAGCTCTATATATTTGTATATAGATTAAGTAGATTAATATATATTAAGTAGGTCAAAAGCTATAAATTACAGCAAAACTTGGGCTCTCCATGTGCTGAGCCATACTGATGTGCCTTGCCACTTATTCTCCTGACTGTGAAACAGTCTCTGGACTACTCTGCCTGGTCTTGGTCTTCCTCTGAGAAGGTCTACCCCTTAGAGTGAGGAATGAACATTTGTTCAGTCCCTCCATGTAGCCTGTTGTCCTTGCCATGGCACTCTTCCTTGTACTAGCTCCCTGTTACAGAGGCAGCTGGGTGACCGGGAGCCGTTCTCTGGCCCTGCCTGGCTGTAGCTATGTGTAGTCCCTGCCAGGGGAGCAGTGGGCCAATGGCAGAAGCTTCAGAAACCAAAGTGGGTTGGTGTGGCCCAAACACGGCCTGTGAGCCTGGGGCACACAGGAGGAAATGATGAGAAAGAGTTGATGATTGAGGTGAATGTGGAGAGCTGTAGAGTTTTAAAGTTTAAACCCTGCAGGAGGTGTGCAGGTGCTCCTGGGAATGACATAGCCAGATCTGCTGTTTCAGAAGGACTGTGTGGCAGCAGTGTAAGGAGCTGGCAGGAGTTCCAGTTGGAAATTATATAGATGAGAAAAGATGGGGGTCCCTGAGATAGCAGCAGGAACGAGGATGACTCTGAGAAAGTTTAGATGTGACAGCAGGCGAGGTCAGATGATCAACCAGACACTGGGCACCGTGGAAGGGAAGCACTAGGCTCACTCCTGGTTTCTGATCTGAGTATCTGCTTGGCTGATGGAACCCTAGACTGGGTGGACAGCCATGGGTAGGAGCATTGCTGAAGCAAAGATGATGGACTTGGGCTCAGAACTCCATGGACTTTGAGGTACAGGTGAGGGCCCTCAAGTGAAAATACCTAAGAGTTACTCAGCTGTGTTAGCCTATAGATTCAGAATGAGATGCCCAGAAAAAGAGTCTTATCCTATCCTTGTTGGCTTTCTCCTCAGTAACTAAATTCTGTTTCTTTTACACCCAACGAATGGGGAATGGCTAGGATTATGTCATGGATTAACACTACCAATTCTCAAAAGCCCCAGCCTGATGCCTGTGCGGCCTCCCCTCTCCCTGCTGAGTCGTGCATGATGAAGCAGAAGCACCAGACTCCCCTCTGCTCCTACCCACTAAGCGTGCCATGCACGAGCTCACCTTTATTCTCTCCTTGGAAAGAAAATAGGCAGTGGCATGAAGCACGTCAGCAGAATGTGTAGAATTGTGGTAGGGGTTAGAAGAATGATAATTGGCTTCAATAATTTGTAGCCATGATCTCAGCGTTGACTCAGAACAGTTTAAGAATTCACAGACTCCAAAGCGAGCAAACATTTTAAGACCAAGATAAATCAAAGGCCTATAGAGGAAAACAAAATTGCAACGAAGTAAAGAAACAGGAAGTATTTTGAGTCCTGAATAGGCTCAGATCTAACGAGCAAATCCCAGCCTGGCTTCAGCGGGTACAGGGCAGTGAAGTGAGGTTGTGTGGGCTGTACCAGCCCCTGTCTGGGGTGGCCAACCAGCTCTGGTGGACATGCTGCCTCCTCTGGCCCTCTCCACAACTGCTCTGGCCTCAGCCCCCTCAGGACTCCGCACCTGGGAAGGGAAGTTTGCTTCCTGATTCAAACTCCCACGTGCACTAGTGGATTCCTCAAAAAGAATCCCTTTCCAGGATAAACTGGTACCACTTTGAACTCAGCCCTCTCCCTTGTTCCTTGCTAGATTTACATCACTGGTTGATATCCAACCTAGAAGAAAATAAGATTTCCTGAGAACTGCATATAAGCCAGATTATGCTGCAAGTCATATACTTTACTCAACAATCTGTAGTTGGGCATTATGTATGAGGGGTTTCCCTTAAGAAGGGAACCAACTGGCCACCAAATTAGGCACTTCCTTGAGAAGTCACCTTGGCCCAGCATCTGGCCTTTGGCTTAGGTGGTCAAGAAACTTGCCTCTGCTGAGGCAGTGTCCAGAGGTGACAAACGAACTTAAGATGACCTGCTTTCGCCTGGTCTCCTGGATGCAGTGCCCCTTGTGTGCAAACCAGGTGCTCGAATGTTCATCTGTCTTGGAGTATTCTTTTCCACTCCCCTGGGCTGTGCCCGGCATCAGCAAGGTAACTCATGGCGAGCATACACAGGGTTGGTGTCTGTCTTAGGGGCAGTTCTCTCAGTCCTTAGAGGGACCCAATGAATCACCCCATGGCCCAGTGGAGCACACCTAGGGCAGACTGAGGGCAGCCCCTCTCCTGTGTGCCTGACCACCAGCAGCAGCTAAGAGCTCTTCTCCAGGAACAAGACTGAAGGCAAATTGCACTCCTATTCCCACACTGTATGTCACACCCAGATGAGAATGGAGAATGACTGGGGCTCTAGGTGTTTCCATGCCTGTCACCAAGCACTAAGGTCTGGGGCAGCTCTTAGTATACATGTATGTATGTTTCTAGTAAGTTTTTGTCCTAGGCTCTGAGTAGGCCTCTCTGCTACTATCTTAACATCACAGGAGAAATCAATACTCTTCTTCCCCTAAAGGAAACCCTCTGCTATTTGAGAAGTTCCATCACTTGTTGAGTGGCACTTTCCATGGCTCTGCCATCTCGGTCATGGCCAAGCAGCCTCTCTCCCAGGCCCTGGTGACTCAGGGCCACCTACTACCCTGCTACTCCCTCCTCAGCTCCATCTGACCAGGAACCAGCTGTGCACACGATCTACACTCCTTGTGGGGTCCTCAAACAGGCCCTGGGATCCAGCTTTCCCTCTGTGGAGCTCCCTGGAAACTCACCTTTTGTGTGTGGCAGCCTCCAGTTCAAAAATATCAAAGTCCCAGTGTTCTTCATTTTCCATGGCCCCAGCTACCCGGGGAGGGATATTGTGAAGGGGGAGGGGAGTGATTACATTGTTTGAAACCTGCTGAATGCCTGCAAAGTGAAGTCATTTGGAGAATAAAATTAATAGGCTTTAAAACATTAACTGTTTCTAAAGGACAACAGTACTGTATGTATCAGGGACAACTGCTTTGTTTCTGAGGTTTTATGACTTACCAAGACAATTATTTGGATACTTTTATCTGAAAAAATTATCTTCATCACTTAACCTAGAATGCAACATTGTAACTAGTGATATAAAAAAGCTTAAAAAAAACAAAAAGAAAAAACTTACTTTTTGTTGAAAGAACATATTCATTCCCTGATAGTCTTCGTAAACCATCCTGATAAAAATAAAGGGAAAAAGAAAAGCCATGACTATTATTTCCTTCTTGGAAATTCCAGGTGGTCAGCTGCAGGGTCAGCTCAGTGCAGGCCTCTCTACCAACCCACTGCAAAGCTGCCCTGGGCCCAGCAGGGCCAGCCCATGATCACTGCTTACTGGTGAGCACAGCAGCCCTGGCCCCGCTCCAGGATAAACTCAAGGGTAGAGGCCGCACCAGGGAGGTGAGGACTCCCCTTCAGGAGAGGTGGCCTCTGAAGCCCATGCCTGCTGCCTGTACCCTGACTATTCTGGTTTCTAAGGAATATCTCCCTCTGTCCTCAGTCTTCTCCATTTTTTTGCCACCCTTCTCACCCTGAGGATGCTGAACTTCCTTTGGAACACGAGATCCCTTCTTACCTTCTATGTGAGCTCACTGTCTCTAGTTGACTTCCCTGGGCTCCTCACCTCTGCTCCCACATCACTATCCCCGAGTCCAGCCTCAACTTCCTCGCTCCCTTAGGCCTGAGGTTTCTGTCCACTGTTTGCCCTTGTCATTTTCAGCCCCTACCTACATGCTGGAGGAGCCTCCTGCTCAAATAGGCAGGACCACAGTTAGCTGCTGTCATCACTGAGAAACACTCTACCTTCTATTTTTTTATTAATATTATTGAGACAGAGTTTCACTTTGTCACCCTTGGTAGAGTGCCATGGCATCACAGCTCATAGCAATTGCTTGGCTTCAAGAGATTCTCTTGCCTCAGTCTCCTAAGTAGCTGGGACTACAGGCACCCACCACAATGCCCAGCTAATTTTTTTAGAGATGGGGTCTTACTCTTGGTCAGACTAGTCTCGAACTCCTGATCTCAAGCAATCCACCTACCTTGGCCCCCCAGAGTGATAGGATTATAGGTGTGAGCCACTGCACCCCGGCCCTTCCTACTTTATTTTTATAAAATCAAGTGACTTGGGAGACCAGGCACTAGGAGGATCGTGAACGACAGAATGCGGCTCCTCCTCTGTGGAAGTGTCCGGCACCTTCTAATGTCTATGACACACTCCCCCTTCTAGTGAAAGATTCCTAACTGGTGTAGCATGCTATGAGGTGAAACTGCCCCAACCCCAGCACCTTTTGAAACATGTATGGCAGGATAAAGATACTTTTTCTGTTTTGTAATTTGATGTGGAACACTGAACGTGTTTTTCTTTTATTCTTCCCTAGTTTTCAAAATCTTTACTATACCTAAAAAAGTTCTGTTTACATAAATTACTTGTAGAACCCCTAGGCAACACAGGAGAACTAGCTCAGTAGCCATCTAAACACCTTCTACCGTCCTATCCTCCCAGTTCTGGTCTAGCTGGGAGCCGGTGGCAGGAGGTGCTCAGCCAGAGGACAGTAAGACCCAGTGGAGGTGCAGTGTTGGCCCAGACTGTCCTACTGGTCTCTTCAAAGAGCTCTGTTTGAGCAAATAACCTCTAAGCAAATCAACAGGAACAGTTGCTAGCCAGTAGTGGTCACATACACTCACAGACACTAACATCTACTCAGACACTTAGTCCCTGACATCTACTCTCAGACACTAAGCCCCTGACATCTACTCACAGACACCAAGCCCCCGACATCTACTCACAGACACTAAGCCCCCGACAAGGTCGCTGGCATGAGGGTCATCATCCTTAGCACCAAACTGTGGTGAGTACAGTTCAGTGGTTCTTAGAATTTCCAGCACACGGTCCAAGGCTTCTGTTACAGGCATGGGACTGCTTTCCTGAGCAGCATTGATAATATTTATTACCTACATTATGGAAAGAACAGACTTGAGTTTTAAAACCTTAGAAACATAGGGAGAGTCATCAGAGTCAGGCTGGCAATAGCACTTAATGCTGACTTAAGACTAGTTAAAATGCTCATGTCACAATGCTCCCTCTTCAGAGGAGGCCACAACATACAACTGTGGTACATTCTTATTGTCATGGGTCCCTGTTTCTTCTCACTGGAAAGAATTCTTGGGAAGAAAAAGGGACTTGTGTGCTCAATAGAGACAGACTACAAACTGCTTCACCTTGGTGATGGGTGCCTCAATCGTCATGGAATGTATCCGGGCCATGGAGGAGTGCCGTCTCTGGCTGGAAGCTGGGGAGAGAGGGATGCACAAATCAGGGTGTGTGTGATGTGGGCACCTGTCTTGGTGGCCAAGGGCTCCGTGTGCTCAGCTGACCGAGGGCAGGACCAGAATGACAGCTGTTGAGCTCCCTGCCCACTTGCACAGCCTTGGGCTCTGGCATTACCAGTTCTGCTCCTTGTGGCACTAGGATGCACATGTCCCCAATGGACTGAATTCTGATGTCACACGCCAAAGAGAAAACAGAGGAAACAATCTAGCAAGTCAAGGCCCAAACAGCCTCTTTTTGTGTCTATAACAGTAAGTCTTTATAGTCATTTAGCTTGCCATTCTCCAGGAGTAAAAATGTTTTGGAAGACAGTGCCAATGGACTCCTTGTGTCATATTATAGCAGGAGCAATAAATTCAACTATCAATAATGAAAATATGTGAATTTCTGGTTAAATTTTTTTGGGGAATCTTCTGGTGCTTTCCACTGCTATGTTTTATTAGGTAAATATCTTAAATGAGACAGCAAATCTTAGGTGCTACAGTTTGTTAATTTTGTGTTGTTCCTGTTAAGACATGGTTTCTTTGAGGTGAGGGGAGACGGGCAAGGACTGGCAGGAAATGAATAGTTACAGAGTCCTGTGTGTCTCAGCGAACACCTGTCAGCCCACATACTGCCTACCAAGGGACTGTCTCACAGACTGACAGGGCAGCTCCATTTCACCAGTGAAGAAACTGAGACACAAGGAGAGATGCTGTTCGAGGTTAACTAATTCTGCTGGGGGGAGGGTCTGAAACACATTCAATTTGAGACCAACAAAGCTTAAATATGATTTTGGTGACCAGAATAGGGTGTCAACTTTCCATTTCACCAAACAAGGTCATTAAACCAAAAATAAAAACCACTACTTATTTGCTGAGAGAAAACAAAATGACCTAAATAAATGGGTACATTGCATGTTCACAGTTTGAAAAGACTTAGTTATTGAGATTTCAGTTTTCCACAAGCTGATTCAAGGCACTCTGAAAACAAATTCTAGGAGGCATGTGTGCATGTACGTGCACCTGTGCGTAAATTAACAAGCTGAGTCTAAGTGTTATTGTTATGCAGAAATGCAAAGGACCAAAATTGCCAAGACACTGAAGAACAACTGTATATAACCAGCTACCACGACTGACTGTAAGTGATCAACTGTGCTCTGAGTGCAAGCATAGACAGACAATAAATGGGAGAGAGAGAATACAGTCTAGACACAGATCACATATTTATAGTAACCCGATTTACAGTAACGGTGCTTACTGTAAAAGATCTTTTTTCCAATGTGGTGATTGCAATTGGATTTCTATAATGGGGAAAATACCTTCACAAGACATAAAGATTAATTTGAAATGTATTATACACCTAAAGTAAAACACAAAACAATGTAGCCTGTAGAAAAAAACAGAATATCTGCATTATCTTGAGATAAAGATTTCCTAAATAGGACATAAAAAATACTAGCTATGGCCCGGCATGGTGGCTGGTGCCTGTAATCCTAGCACCTTGGGAAACCAAGGCAGGAGGATCCCTATAGATCAGGAGTTGGAGACCAGCCTGAGCAAAGCAAGTCCCTATCTCTACTAAAAATAGAAAAATTAGCTGGACATTGTGGCAGGTGCATGTAGTCCCAGCTACTGAGGTGGAGAGGCAAGAGGATTGCTTGAGCTCAGGTTGCTGTGAGCCAGACTGAGGCCAGGGCACTCTAGCATGGGCAACAAAGCAAGACTCTCTCTTATTTAAAAAAAAAAAAAAAAAAGCACTAGCTATAATACATAACACTAACAAAATGAATCTCATTAAAATTAAGAGGCTTGGCTCAGTGCCTGTGGCTCAGGTGGCTAAGGCGCCAGCCACATACACCTAAGGTACACATATACTGGGCCCGCCAAACAACAGTGACGGCTGCAACCAAAAAATAGCCAGGCGTTGTGGTGGGCGCCTGTGGTCCCAGCTGCTTAGGAGGCAGAGGCAGGAGACTCACTTGAGCCCAGAAGTTAGAGGCTGCTGTGAGCTGTGATGCCATAGCACTCTATCCAGGGGGACAGCTTGAGGCTCTGTCTCAAAAAAAAAAAAAATTAAGAGGCTCTGTTCCTCAAAACACAGCATTAAGAGAGCAAAAGACAAATCATAGGTGAAGAAAATGTATCTGTGATACATAGAAGATTCCTATCTAGACTATATAAAGAATTCCCACAGATCAACAAGAAAAAGACACACATCCAATTATAAAAATGGGCAAAACATGTGAACAGCACTTTAAGAAAGAAGATATCCAAATGCCAATAAGCATATAAAAAATGCTCAACCTCATTAGTCTCAAGGAAAATTAACATTAAGATCATCAGAGTGGCTCGGTGCCTGTGGCTCAATCGGCTAAGGTGCCAGCTATATACACCTAAGGTGGCGGGTTCGAATCCCCAGCCCGGGCCCGCCAAACAACAATGATGGCTGCAACCAAAAAATGGCCGGCGCTGTGGTGGGCGCCTGTAGTCCCAGCTACTTGGAAGGCTGAGGCAGGAAACTTGCTTGAGCCCAGGAGTTGGAGGTTGCTGTGAGCTGTG